TGTGTTTTACAAAGGATCCCGGTGAGTCTTTACCCCCGGGGGGGGAGGGTGGTAGACCTATCTCCTTTTTGAGAAAGGAGAATCGATGTTGTGCAACCTATGTTTCGCAACCTATGTGGTGCAGTGTCTGTACGGTGTGCAAGATATGTAAAGCAATGGATGTGTGCAATATATGTGGTGCAACTTACGTGGTGCAATATGTTTTGTGCAATGTGCATGTGGGATGCAATAGATGTGGTTCAATCGATGTGGTGCAACATATGCTGTGCAACAGATGTGGTGCAATATATCAGCTGGCACGGAATGGGCGTGTTAGAATGCTGGCTGTTGCCTCGGAGGATTGTTTGTTATGTTTTCTTGGGCCGCCCCCCCGCTCATCGCGCGCGTCCTTCGAACATCGTCCCCTCTGAAATTGATGTACCTCGAAACGGCCAATCGGGCCTCCAGGACGGCTTCAGACAGCCACGACGACACCAAAAAGGCTCAAGATGGCGAAAGACGGCTCAAGAGGTTTTCAAGACAGCCTCAAGACTCACGATGGCCCAAGAGACCCCCAAGACGGCCCAAGAGGGCGTAAAGAGGCCCTCCACGAGAGCCCGAGGAGGCAACAACCTTTGATTGTCCCTGGGCGTTTGAAGGATTCAAAGGTACTCGCCTGCTTCGGTGTCCGACCACCCAAGACGGCCCAAGAGGCCTCCAAGATAGCTCCAAGACAACCCATGGTGCTCCCAAAAAAATCCCAAGTCAGCCCATTAGGACCCCAAAGTTCAAGATCACCCAAGGGACCCCCAAGGGGGCCAAGGGGGCACCAAGACGGCCTGGAGAGGCCCCCAAGCTTCCGAAGGCGTACGACGGGCCAAGAGCCCCATAAGACAACAAGGGGCTCCAAGAGGCCCCAAGAAGCCCCAGGAGGCCCCCGAGACGCCCCCAAGAGGCCCTCTGGAGTGGAGGCCCCCCGGAGGCTCCAAGTGGGCCCCAAGGAGCCTTCTCCTCGTCCTGGTCCTCGTCCTCGTCCGCGTTCTTCTACTCCTCTCCCTCCTCCTCCTCCTCCTCCACCTCCTCCTCCTCCTCCTCCTCCTCCTCCTCCTCCCCCTCCTCATCCTCATCCTCCTCCTCATCATCCTCCTCCTCATCCTTCTCCGTACCGCGCGGACGAGGACACTCAGCCGCCTTCCTGCTGCGTTGTTGCAAAAGCACGGTGGCGGGGTTTGCCGCAGGCAGCTGCATGTGGTGCAACCCATGGTGTAGAATGTACGCCGTGCAATATATGTTGTGCAGTCCTATGTGGTGGAATACATGATGTGCGATCTATGTGGTGCAATGTATGGTGTGCAGCCTATGTAGAGCAACCTACGTGGCGGCCATCAGGCGGCCACGGGGCGTCGACGGCGGCAACATAGCCACTAGACCGACAGACAGGCCCAGACGACGGGCGGCGACGTGGAGGCGACGAGGCGGCGACGGCGGCAACATAGCCCATAGCCGCCAGACCGACGGACAGGCCCAGACGACGGGCGGCGCCGAGGCGGCGACGGGGCGGCGACGGCGGCAACGTGGCCGCCAGACCGACAGACAGGCCCAGCACCTTAGAGGAGATAAAAACACCGAAGTGCAAGCACTGGTCGGGAAAAGATGACCAGAGCCATCTGGTAAGGTGCGAATGTTGCGGTGAGTACGATCTCTTCGTCAGCTTAAATCAGGCAGATGGTCAGAACTGTTTCGTTGAGTGAAATGTTTCCGCTGGTTGAGGCACTTGTGCTGGTTACTATGCTTTCGCCGCTCATTTTCAAAAACGATGGACAAAGTGTGGTCGTTGTTCGTTTGTCTGTTGAGGCCAGAACGGTAGTCGGAGCAGCTGTGTTTAAAGACGCTTGTCCGTTTGAAGGGGTGGTTGTGTTGACTCGGGTGCGTTGTTAATCCAGATCCGACCGATGGCCAGAACCATTAGCTGATTGAGGCGTCTTCAAGAACGTGGGTAGATCTGTGAATCGGTTGCGTTGGTTGATGTTGTTGGAGCGCCTGTAACTCGCATGTAGGTTCAACCAGAGCAGAAGGCGGTCTTGGACCGCGAATTGGCACAGAGAACGGATGCCTTGGTTTTCAAAAGTAGGCAAAACCGATAGCTAAACAAATAAACTAATCATTAGAAATATCACCAATAATGGAAGAAACAATGTTAAACATGACAGAAGAACCCAAGCATATGCAGCTGTGAGTACCGCACTCGTAACTAACATGTGCGATGAAGCCCCCTATGGGGCCACGATCCTCGTGAGGGGTGCGCCGAACTGGGGAGGGGTCGCCATGCGAACTTTCCCGCTGGTGCGTTCGGTGGAGCTCCCTATGGGGCCACGGTCCTCGTGAGGGGTGCGCCGAACTGGGGAGGGGTCGCCATGCGAACTTTCCCGCTGGGGCCTTCGGAGGAGCTCCCTATGGGGCCACGATCCTCGTGAGGGGTGCGCCGAACTGGGGCGGGGACGCCATGCAAACTTTCCCACTGGTGCCTTCGGTGGAGCTCCCTATGGGGCCACGATCCTCGTGAGGGGTGCGCCGAACTGGGGCGGGGCCGCCATGCGAACTTTCCACTGGTGCCTTCGGTGGAGCTCCCTATGGGGCCACGATCCTCGTGAGGGGTGCGCCGAACTGGATCGGGGCCGCCATGCGAACTCTCCCACTGGACCTTCGGTGGAGCCCCCTATGGGGCCACGAAGCGTGTGAGGGGTGCGCCGAACTGGGGCGGGGCAGCCATGCGAACTTGCCCGCTGGGTCCTTCGGAGGAGCTCCCTACTATGGGGCCACGATCCTCGTGAGGGGTGCGCCGAACTGGGGCGGTACTGCCATGCCAACTTTCCCACTCAGGCCTTCGGTGGAGCTCCCTATGGGGCCACGAAAAGTGTGAGGGCTGTGCCGAACTGGGGCGAGGCCGTCATCCGAATGTCCCATTGGGGCCTTAGGTGGAGTTCCCTATGGGGCCACGAAGCGTGTGAGGGGTGCGCCGAACTGGGGCGGGGCCGCCATGCGAACTTGCCCGCTGGGGCCTTAGATGGAGCTCCCTATGGGGCCACGATCCTCGTGAGGGGTGCGCCGAACTGGGGCGGGGCCGCCATGCGAACTTTCCCACTGGGGCCTTAAATGGAGCTCCCGATGGGGCCACGAAACGTGTGAGGGCTGTGCCTAAATGGGGCGGGGCCGTCATGCGAACTTTCGCATTGGGGCCTTCGGTGGAGCCCCCTATGGGGCCACGAAGCGTGTGAGGGGTGTGTCGAAATGGGGCGGGGCCGCCATACGAACTTTCCCATTGGGGCCTTAGGTGGAGCTCCCCATGGGGCCACGAAACGTGTAAGGTTGTCCCAAGTTGGTGGGTACGCGGAGAACAGAGGCACGACGCTGACGATGGCGATGTTGATGACGCCGATGATGGCGATGGCGCCCACGATGATGGTGATAGTGATGGTGATGGTGATGGCGATGGTGATGGTGATGGTGATGGTGATGGTGATGGTGATGGTGATGGTGATGGTGATGGTGATGGTGATGGTGATGGTGATGATGATGGTGATGGTGATGGTGATGGTGATGGTGATGGTGATGGTGATGGTGATGGTGATGGTGATGGTGATGGTGATGGTGATGGTGATGATGATGATGATGATGCTGATGATGACGATGACGATGACGATGACGATGATGATGGTGAGAGTGGGAGGCAGTGGGCAGCGGGAGGAGGAGGAGGAGGATGAGGGAGACGCGGGGCGCTGTCTCTTCAAAACGAGGACCCAACACCACAAGATGGATGGGAATGATAAATCGCGTACTGATAGCGATGACAACAATTATACGAATAGCACGAATAAGAAGAAGAAGAAGAAGAAGAAGAAGAACAACGACCCTTTCTCCCGGAACAGCGTCTCATCCGGAGTCGGCTTCCAACGGTCCCAGTCCCCGGGCCCGGCGAGGGCATCTAGGGGCCGAAAACGGTGAGAAGCCGGAGGCGGTGGGCGGACGAGCAAGATCAGGGGAATGGGAAGGAGGACGGGGGTGGCGTGAGGAGGGGGCACTGAGGAGGGCGTCTTCCCATTTCTCATCATGCAGCTCCTCGCTTTCGCCCTCATCATCCTCCTGCTTTGTTGTCTTCCTCCTCCGACGATCGCGATGCCGACGACGAAGGCGATGCCGAGGCGGAGGCGGACGACAACGACCGCACAGACGAGGTCCGCGAGACGACGACGACGACGACGACGACGACGACGACGACGACGACAATGCCCCCCGAAGGTCTCAAAGGCTACAAACGCCACCAGAAAAGTCTCTAGCACTGATCCCGCCTCAAGCATTGACCCCTGCCAGTCCTTGCAGGAGCAGCCAACATCGAATCGCGACATCGGATCGGATCGTATGTACTGAATCGGTCTGCATCGGTACGGGGTCAGTTGTTGAGCAAATCGGCCGCGCCAAGATGCGCGACAGTGCCATTCAAAGATCGGGTCGCATCAGATCGCTGAAAATTCGGAATCGGATCGGACCGGGCGGTCCGACACCGATATCGAGTCGGACCGACCGGATTGAAATGGACTCTGCCCTCTCGGTAGCTTTCGGGCCCTAAGCTCGGGCCTCCAGCGGCAGCGCGGGATTCCCCCAGCGAGGCGCAGCTACTGGAGAACATTTCGTGCTCAAGACAGCCAGGGACGACGATAAGATCTGTCGAAGCAATGCGACTTGAGACGACTGCACCTCAAAATCGGTCCCCCGACCCGAGCTGCGTCCAGCCGTGGCGACGAGGGCCGCCCCGAAGGCCAGCTACCGTTGTCTCAACTCGCCCTCCTCTGGAGTTCTTCGTCTGGTTCCCGGGTCATCAACTTGGGCCTCCGGCGGGCGTTCGGGGCGATCCAGGCACCCCCAGAACGCTCTCTCCGAGGCCGGAAGGCCGCCGACGGAGACCTCAGACCTCGGCCCTCCTCGCCTCGCCCTCCTCCGAGCCCGGGCACGCCCGAGAAGCCGTCCTTGCCGGGGCGCGAGGATGCCCCCGGCCTCCGCCAGCCGCACGAACCACTGGCAGCTCAGCAGCGCCACGGCCCCGTCGGAGAGCGCGGGCTCGAGCTCCCGGCCGCCGTTCTTGGCCCACGCGGCCGCAGCCTGGCGGCGTCGGGCGGTGGCAGGCCGCCGCCGTCGTTGGACGCAGGGCCCCAATCGGGTCGTGAAGAAATCGCGGCGGGAGGCTTTTGGCCATGCTCGGCCTCTGGGGGCCCTCGCCGGGCCCTGGAGCGTCAAAAAACGTCTCGGGAAGAAAAGCCAGCCGAGGGGGATGGGTCGAGATCTCTGAGGGGTCCACGTCACGAAAAAGTCACGGCGTCGGGGATCTGAGGATGAAGAGAGGGGGAGCCAGGCAGGAGCGGGAGCAGAGAGAGAGAGGGGAAGAGGAGGCGGAAGAGGAGGAGGAGGAGGAGGAGGAGGAGGAGGAACGAACGAGCGCTGGAGTCGTGCGCACTCCGCTGGGGAGCCCGCCCGTGCCCGTCAGGACAGGGCGGCGAGGCCATAGCCTCGAATATTCGCTTAAGACTTGAAAGCGAGCACTGCGACCGAGCAGACGTGTGTACTGATGTGTATGTGTATGATGCACATGCCTGGTGATATGCATATGTGTATATATGTATATATGTATGTGTCTACATGTTAAAACATGCATACATAGATGTGCGTGTGTAAATACAGATGCATATACACGCACGCATGTGTGTGATCTATACTTGCTACTGTGCGACGGTAGTGTGCATTTACGTATACACGTGTGTCTACCTCATGTTCTTCTCCGATGAGGCGAAGTCGCTCGGCTGTTCCGGGAGGACTCCCCCAGCCGCGCGCGGAGCGGAACGCGGGACGCGCGGCCTTCTCCTCGTCCATCCGGTAGTCGGAGCCGACCGTGAAGAACTCGACATCGGGGCAGAAGACCTCGGTCGGGGAGGAAGCAGCTCCTGGCAGGGAAACAAGCAATGGCATAGACATAGGAACCCGCAGGTCCGCGCGGACTCTTCGGACCGGCGCTGGTGCCCCCTGGCGGCGCCTCCGGCGCCGCCCCTGGCGCGCTCCGCGCGCCAGGGAAGGGGCTCTGACGCCGACCCAAGAGATGCGCGAGGGCATCCGAGTTTGTATGCTTATGCCGCGCCATTGCTCGTTCCCCGATCTGGGGAGGCCTTCGCGAGAAGGAACCGGTAGGGGTAGGGTTCGCATGTGGCCCCCTAACCAGGGCCTCGTTAGGGCCGATCGACGGATCATCGAACTGGTCTTGCCCAGAGGAGGCCCTGGATTGGGCACGCTGAGCGCGATCCAGCGGGAGTTGGCAGGCCTGTGCTGGGCCAGCGCCGATGCGGAATTCAACCTCCCACGAATTGCATCCTAAGCCCGCGAATAGGAGGCCTCCTAGATGGGGTCCGAGTAGATGGGGTGGGCGGATCGTGCCGCATCGCCGATACATCGGAGATGTATCGGCAGTGCATCGGCGATGCATCGGCAATGCAACAGCGACGCATCGTCGACGTCGGCGATGCATCGGCGACGTCGACGTGAAGCAAATCGGCTCCGCATCGAGCCGCATCGCCGATGAATCAACGATGCGGCGCGATCCTCCGACCCCATCTACTCCGACTCCATCTAAGAGGCCTAGAGCGAGGGGCTAGACGTGTACACCAAGTGGTTTGACTGGCCAAGGAGCTCGGTTTACAGACGCACCAGCTTGCTAATTTGTGGGGCGCTGGAACCTCAGAACAGTGGGCACATACGGTAACAAACATTTACGTGTTGTATTTGGCAGCGTTGAGGACCGCTTCATGAACCCGCTCACTCCGAAGCTCACGAGCGCCTCGCTGTCACGCCACAGCGTGATCACACAATGAGGCAGTATGCAGTCCCCCGATGAGAACTGAGAACGGGGCTCCGAAACTCGAACGCAAATCACCCCCTCGGTCTGGCAACTCCTGGCCAGGCACAGGTCACACGGAGAATCATCGCGACTCGGCGAGAATCATCCCCAGGCCGTAGGGTGGCCAGCTTGACCCAGAGTGGCCTTACGGTAGCAAACATCTTGCTATAAGAAAGCGAGGGGCACATCCTTCGTCGACGGTGGGCTGTGTGTGTACTCAGGGCACCAAGGGACTCTGCGGCCCATCTGAAGATCAGTGAGTCTCGTGGGGCACCGATTGGAAGGCCGATTCCTCATTTGGTGGGCCTACTCCACACCGAACTCCTTCGCCGAACTCCTTGGCTCCTTGGCCGACCAGACGACGTGATAGACCCTGAGGTCAGAAATGTTCAAAAGAACATCGCGTGAAACATCACAACCGGAGCCTTAGACCCAGTCTTGGTCCGGCACTTTTCGAGCTGGTTCGATCTGTCATGGCTCAGGGCCCCGAAGCTTCTCGGCAAAGACGCCCAGAGCGAAAAAATGCCGCGCCCGAGCCTCAGCGAAAGACAGCAGCGGCCGAAAAAAAACCTGAGCCGAGAGCGCGGGTAGCCGCCGACTGGCGTCGGCAGGCCCGGGCCAGCGGCGACCCGCCCACGCGGCCTTCAGACATCCGCCGCCGTAACTTTTTCTCACGGCGTGGCCCCCTGGAGGCCTCCAAAGTGAGGTCCGAGTTGGAGGATTGTGCCGCATCGCCGATGCGGCGGCGCCAGCGATGCATCGGCGACGTCGGCATGGAGAAGGTCGGGCTCCACATCGAGCCAAATCGCCGATGCATCGGCGATGCGGCGCGATACTCCGACCCCATGGACTCGGACCCCATCCGGGAGGCCTGGACCCCGGAGGTCCTCACCGCTTCCCCGGGTTCAGCTTCTCCTCCGAGGCCACTCTGTTGACGGCCACGGCGGGACCGGATTGTGCTGTGTCCCTCAATAATTCTTGGGGTACCTGTAATCTGGGGAGGGCACCTGTAGTCCGGGGGGGGGTACCTGTAGTCCAGGCGGGGGTACCTGCAGTCAGGGGGGAAACGCGTGTTCACGCGTCAACGCACGCGTGGACGTAGTCCTGGGGGGTACCTGTAGTCCGGGGGGGGGGGGTACCTGTAGTCCGGATGGGTACCTGTAGTCGGGGGGGGGTCCCTGTGGTCCGGGGGAGGGGTACCTGCACTTCGGGGAGAGGGTACCTGTAGTCTGGGGGGGTACATGCAGTTTGGGGACCCAGAGCTATTGAGAGACACAGAGGGAATGCTCCCCAGGGGCCGAGCACAGCTCTCGATCGTGGTCTCTCCTCGTGGTCTCTCCTGGGGGTGGGGCACACGAGCGCAGGTGCCGCTGCTCCCTGGGCCTCTCCCGGGGTGCGCTCCGACCAGCATGTCGGGGCGACTCCAGCCGCGGCGGCGAGGGGCCTCCCGGGAGGCCCGAAAGGGCGACAGCGAGGGAAGGGTGGCGGTATGCACCCTCTCTGCGGTGGCAACTCATGGGAGCCTCGACTCCCGTACCATCTTGTCCGCTCTTGCGGGTCGACGCTGGTCGACGCCGAATGGACGCCGAATCGACGCCGGATCGACGCTGAATCGACGCCACCCGGCGCGAAATCGACGCTGTCCCATCGCCTGCCAAACGCTACTCGACGCCAGTCGACGCTAAAGACGGAATTAAGAGGGTACACCAGGCTCCCACGACTTGCTGTCGAACTCTTCTGACCTCTCCACCACGACGCGAGGACCGACCGCTGGCGGCACGAGCCGCGGGCGGGGAGAGGGCCGCGGGCGACACCCGCGTCGGCCGCGCGGGGCGGCAGCGCGGCGGCGGCTCGCCGAGACAAGCCCCCCGGAAGGGGCTCGAGGTGCACACCGAGTCGTCTGCCCGGCCAAGGAGCTCGGCGTCAGGATGTGAACGTTTTCGTATTCGGCGTCTCGACATTGGGCGGAAGGGGGGGGGAGGAGGGGGGGGAGCTGGCTCCGGACCTCTGCTTAATGCGACTGTTTGCAGCAGTGCGTCCCATGGGAAAGACTCCGCCTGCCTGAGACAGGCGCCCAAAACAGCCAAGATCTACTCCAGGGGGGGAGGGGGGGGGCAGGACCTGCGCCGATCGGCAAAGCAATGAATAAGAAAACAACGACCACGTGAGACCATGCTTTTCTGTTTAACATAGTAGGCGTTCTATCTGTATACATATATAACGAAAGAGAGAGAGAGAGAGATGCACAAACAAACTGTTGGGCCGAGAACACATCATAAATGCTTGAGGGTCGCCCCAGCCGCGTCTCTCGACATCGCGGCGAATCATCCGCCACCGTGCCTGCACGGAAAGGGCGTGTCAGAACCTGGGCTGGCACGGGAACGGAAAGAGCGGTTCCGTGGGGCCTCCCCGAGGCCTCCTGGGAGTCTTCGGGGCCGTTTGGGGGCCTTCTTGGGCCGTCTGGGGGCCGTCCTGGGGTCTTCTTGGACCGTCTTGGGGGGCTTGGGCCAGCTTGGGGCGCCCGCGGGGCCCTCTTGGGAGCCTTCGTGTAGCCCCATTGAAGCTATCCTGGGAGCCTCTTGAGCCTCTGTGGGGCCCTCCTCGGCCCGTCTTGGGGCTGTCGTGGGCCGTCTTGAAGCTCTCTTGGGATGTTCTCAGGCCCTCTAGGAAGCCTGTGGGGACGTGTGGGGGCGACCTCGGAGGCCCGAAAGGGCGTCTTTGGATTTTTGCTTGTGCCCGAAAAAAACAATCGTTTTTGCCTCTTGGGTCCCTCGTGGAGGTCCTCGTGGGGGCCTCTTGGGGCGTCTGGGGGGCTTCTGAGGGCGTCTTGGGGCTACCGTCCGTCGCCGCTCCTGGAGCGCTCTTGGGTCGTCCTGGGGCCTCTGGGGCGTCTCGTGGACAGTCTTGGAGGTATCTTAAGCCGTCTTGGGGGCATCTTGGGTGTTTCTTGGACCGTTCTGGGCCCATGCCCCCGAAGGCGTGTTAGAACCTGGGCCAGCACGGGAACAGAACAAGCGGGTCTGTGGAGCGGATATTTCACACGGTCCCGGGGCTTCGGCGGCCGTTTACGCGTCAGCGATTTGGACACAGAGATTGAGGGATTGCAATGCATGCTGGAGCGCGAGCTGTGGTGATCAGAGCTGTTATGTCACCGTCCGCTCCGAGGAGCCTTGGCGGTCAGAGTGTTTGACGGCACGGTTCGCTCTGGTGGGGCCTCGTAAGAGGCTCTTGGAGGCATTTCGGGGCGCCTCTTGGAGGCCTATTGGAGGTCTTTTGGGCCGTTTGGGGGCCTTCTGGGACCCTCTTGGACCGTCTTGGGGGGCTTGGGCCGGCTTGGGGCTCTCTCGGGGCCCTCTTGTGAACCTCCTGTGGCTCCCTTGGGGTTCTCCTAAGAAGCTCTTGGGCCTCTGTGGGGCCCTTCTTGGCCCTCCTGGACCGTCTTGGGGGGCTTGGGCCGGTTTTGGGCGCTCTCGGGACCCTCTTTGAGCCTCCTGTAGCTCCCTTGGGGCTCTCCTGGGAGGCTCTTGGGCCTCTGTGCGGCCCTCCTTGGCTCGTCTTGAGGCTCTCCTGGGCCGTCTTGAGGCGCTCGTGGGCCGTTTGGAAGCCTCTGGGGACGTTTTGGGGCGATCTCGGAGGCCCCCAGGGCCGTATTTGGCTGTTTTGGCAAGAAAAAGCGGGAATCCTAAAATCCTCAAAAACCTCAATGGTTTTTGCCTCCAGCGTCCCTCTTGGAAGTCCTCGTGGGAGCCTCTTGGGCCGTCTGGGGGGCCTCTTGGACCGTCGTGGGGCCATCTTCGCCCCTTTTGGAGCGCTCTTGGGCTGTATTGGAGCCTCTTGGGCGTCTCTCGGGCCGTCTTGGAGGTCTCTTATGCCGTCTTGGGGGCCTCTTGGGGGTCTATTGGACCGTCCTGGGCCGAAAAAGCAGCCAACATGGCCCCCGGAGAGCGTGTTACAAAAAGGCCCGGTCCAGACTCCCCCCAGACCCCCCCATTGGGGCTAAAGCCCTATGCAGAACTTCTCTCGCTAGCGCTCTTTCCGTCGGAATCTCCCCCGCCACGCCCCACCCCCAGACAGCCCCCCCCATTTGGGCTAAAGCCGTGTGTGTGTGTATATATATATATATATATATATATATATATATATATTATATATATATATAACTTCTCTCGCTAGCGCTCTTTCCGTCATGAGCCATGCTCGTCTGTAGTCTGGGAGGTTATGTAAAGCTTTCAGGGACCACCCGTCCTCGTCGCAAGTTCGCCTAAAAAAACGCCCCTTCTGAAATTGCTTTCTGGTGGTGTGTTCGGCCTCCAGACAAGATGGCCTCGAAGACGGCTTCCAAGACAGCCAAGGCCAAGACGACAACTAGACGGCTCAAGATGGCCCAAGACAGCTCAATAGCATGTCAAGACGGTCCAAGAGGGCCCCAAGATCACCCGAGATTGCTCCGAAAGGCCTCCAAAATGACTCCAAGACGGCCCCAAGAGGGCCCCAAGACGGCCCGAGAGGCCTCCAAGACGCCCATGGTGGCCTTCCAAGAGGGCCCCAAGTCGATCCAGAGATGCCCCAAGACAGCTTCCGACGGCGTCAGACGGACCAGGAACGCTCTAAGACGGCCAAAGAGGCCCCCAAGAAGCCCCGAAAGGCCCCCAAGAGGCCCAAGGAGGCTTCCAAGAGGCCTCCGAGAGGCCCAGAAGAAACTCCCAGAAGGTCCCAAGAGTCCTCCTCCTCCTCCTCCTCCTCCTCCTCCTCCTTCTCCTCCTCCTCCTCCCTCCTCCTCCCTCCTCCTCCTCCTCCTCCTCCTCCTCCTCCTCCTCCTCCTCCTCCTCATCATCATCATCATCATCATCATCATCATCATCATCATCAGCAGCACCAGCATCACCATCAGCATCATCAGCAGCAGCATCAGCATCAGCATCAGCATCAGCATCAGCATCATCAGCATGATCATAATCATCATCATCATCATCATCATCATCATCATCATCATCATCATCATCATCATCATCATCATCCTCATCATCATCATCAACATCATCAGCAGCAGCAGCATCATCATCAGCATCAGCATCATCATCCGCATCATCATCAGCAGCAGCATCACCATCATCATCTCATCATCATCACTATCATAATAATCAGCATCAGCAGCAGTAGCAGCATCAGCATCCTTCTCATCAGCATCAGCATCAGCATCAGCATCATCATCAGCATCATCATCAGCAGCATCATGATGATGATGATCATCATCATCGTCATCATCATTGGCATCAGCATCATCAGCATCAGCATCAGCATCATCATCATCAGCAGCAGCATCATCATCAGCATCATCTTTATGTGTCCTCCCTCTCCTCTGGTTCTTCGCTTTCCCCCGCGTGTTCCCCGAAGCTGTTCCACAACAGCTGGGGGAACACATGGTCGGATAGCTTGGCAGAGCTCTGGCCACAACGTTCGGCCACATGGGCGATTCCAAAAGGCAGGGGGCGGCGGTGATTCGCTGTAGGCGTCTTCGATCCGCCGCCCCCTGTTGGCTTGCCACAGGGGTGCCCGGCGTGCTGGATGTTCTGAAAGGTTGTTGGTCTTTTAAAAGACTCCGCCTGGGGCTTCGGCACAGCCCGCCGGTCACCCAGAAAGGGTCATTGCTTAGGTTATTCCTGCTCCAGGTGGCTCCAAGATGGCCCACGATGGCCTTCAAGACAGCCAAAATGGCCCCAAGTTCGCCCAAGATGGTCTAAGTCCAAGATGGCCCCCAAGTTCGCCCAAGAAGGTCCAAGATCGCCTCCAAGTCCACCCAAGCCTCAGACGGCCTAAGACGGCCACAGAGGCCCTCAAGAGGCCTCCAAGACGGCCCAAGAGGCGTCCAAGAGGTCCTCTAGGAGGGCCCGCAGAGGCCAAAATTATTGATTGTCCATTCGTTTTTGAAGGACTTGGGCATTTGCGTCTGTTCGGCCTTCCGACGGCCCAAGACGGCACAAGAGGCCCCCAAGATCGCCCCAAGGTGGCCCAGAAGGCTTCCAAGATGGCCCAGGACGGCCCACGAGGCCTCCAAGACAGCCACAAGAGGGCCCCAATACGGCCCAAGAGGCCTCCAAGACGTCCAAGATGGCCTCCAAGACGGCCCTGAAGCGCCCGCCACACGAGGGCCCCGAGTCGGTTCAGAGAGGCATTCAAGACGGCTTCCAATGGCGTCAGACGGGCAAGGAACGCCCGAAGACGGCCACAGCGGCCCTGAACAAGCCCCCAAGGGCTCCCAAGATGCCCGAGGAGACCCCCAAGAGGCCCTCAGGAAGCCCACCGGAGACCCCAAGAGTGCCCAAAGAGGCTTCCAAGAGGCGTCCTCCTCCTTTTCCTCCTCCTCCTCCTCCTCCTCCTCCTCCTCCCTCCTCCTCCCCCTCCTCCTCCTTCTCCTCATCTGTTTTCCTTCTTCTCTTCATTATCCTCTTCCTCACGGGTTTCAACGACAGCTGGGGGAACACATGGTCCGATGGCTTTAGTCCAACGTTCGGCCACATAGGCGCTTCCAAAAAGGCAGGCGGCGGCGGTGATGCGCCGTAGGCGTCTTCCATCACTCTGGAGCTAACATTCTAGACGACCCAACTTTCCAAGTTGTGGGGCGCTGGAGCGTCTGTGCTCCAGACTCTCCTTCGCCGAGCTCCTCGACTCCAGGCCGACCACGCGACGCGGCGCATACACCGAGCCCCCCCACCGAGCCTCGGCTCCCTCCTGCCGGGGGGGACGGGGCCTCGCCGTACCCCAGGGAGGAGCGGCGCGAGTTGTTCCTCTGGATCTTCGCCGGGACTTCCACAGGAACGGACGGCGCCTCCTCGGGGTCCAGGGGGCGGTCCCGCTCCTGGGCGGCGCAGGGCGGCGGGGGGAGGGGTGCACGGTTTCCCCCGGGGCCGCAGGCGACCCGAGGAGGAGGAGGAGGAGGAGGAGGAGGAGGAGGAGGAGGAGGAGGAGGAGGAGGAGGAAAAAGAGGAGGAGGAGGAGGTGAGGAGAGGAGGAGGAGGAGGGAGGAGGAGGAGGAGGAGGAGGAGGGAGGAGAGGAGAGGAGTAGGAGGAGGAGGAGGAGGAGGAGGAATGGGGATGGAGGAGGAGGAGGAGGAGGAGGAGGAGGAGGACGGGCCGCTCAAGCCCTTCCGAGAAACCATCCAGGGCGGGGGGGCGGCCGTGCTCCTGCGAAGCTGTGGCAGCGAGAGGTCGGCCCTCGGGCCGCGGCAGCACCCCGCCCACGCGCGCACTCCGCCCGTGGGCCTCGGGGCCAGCACGGCAGGGATGCGGACCGGTCAAGTGAGGCTCCAGACCTCTGCTCAGCGCGGCTGTTTGGAACAGTGCTCCAGTGGGGAAGCCTAGGGGGAGTCGTCCACTTTGCTGCTTGAGACAGGCGCCCGAAACAGCCAACATCTACTCCATGGGGGGGAGTAAGGGGGGGTGCGAGGGCCCGCGCCGATCGACAAAGCAATGAATAAGAAAGCGACGACCTGCCCCGAGTGTGCTGCGGCCCGGATCCCTGGGGGTCGGGCTTCCGGTGTATGAAGCGGAAGATGGCGGTACCAAGGAGCAAGACGGAGGAGGGAGGTGGCAAGACGAGTAGAATGAAAAAAGGCGGGAACAGGCGGAAGCCAAATACGGAGGAGGGAGTGGGGGAGAGGGACGGTGGAGGGAGGAGGCGGACATAAAAGAGAGATGGAGGAGGAGGAGGAGGAGGAGGAGGAGGAGGAGGAGGAGGAGGAGGAGGAGGAGGAGGTTAAGGGGAGGACAGGGGCATGCAAAGCGAAAGGGGAGGGACGGGGAGGGGCAGGGCAGGGCGGAGGAACGAGGGATGGAGGGGGGATCACCGAGGCGTGGAGGAGGATGGAGGGGGCAGGAGCGCGAATGTACAGTCAACCCGCAGAGTAAGGATGCGCGATAAGGATGCAAGGCCCTCGGACGCCCATTTCGAAGCGTTTCGAGCGGGGCGCGGCCAACGAAAGTGTCCAAGGATAGACCCAGGAAGCAAGGATGCAGGGGTACCCTTGGGAGGGATGCCTATCCTTACTCTGCGGGTCGACTGTACGAGGTAGAGGGCAGGAGGCAAGAGAAGGAGGCGGGAGAGAGGAGGGAACAGAGGCTGCGCAGGAGGAGTTGGAGCAGGGCTGGACGAGGTGAACGGCGCAGGCATGATTGACATGAAGGAGGAGGGCGCATGAAGAAGAGAGGATGCGAAGTGAGGGAGAAAAGGGTGTTGAGGGGTGGGAAGCGTAGTAAGGATGAGAGAAAAGCAGGAGGATGAGGAGGAGTGGGAGGGAGAGGAGGAGAAAGAGGAGAGATGAGGGGGAGAGTGTTTGCACATATATGCCTTCGATTTGAGGCGTGCAAGAAGTATCTTGTAGTCCCTACGGGGGCCGCCTGAGACCTCTTGAGTACCTCCTGTTCGGGTTTCTGGGGAAGCCTCTGGGCAGCCTCTTGGAGACAGCTTGGAGGCCTCTTGGGGCTCCTTTCGGGGCCTCTTCTGGGCCTCTTGGGGTCCCCTGAGGGTCCTCTCAGGGATCCTTCGGAGGCCTGCTGGGGGTCTTCGGGGTCCTCGTGGGGCGGAGGCCTCGACATGTGGGTTCGAATTCCCCCACCCCACCCCCTGGGGGCCTCTCTTGGGGCCCTCTCGGGGCCGTCCTGAGCAGTCCTGGGTGCCTCAGGGACCGTTTTGGGGATCTCGAGGGCCGTCTCGGGGCGGGGCCCTCCAGGGGACCTCTTGGACCGTCTCGAGGGCCTCTGGGTATTACTTCTGGGGGCCTCTGGGTATTACTTCTATTTCTGTCTGGGACAGGTAGCCAACCGACGCTCCATGGACGACGATGGCGCGAAGGCTCGTCGTCGTCGCCTTCGTCGTTCTGTCATCGTTATCGTTATCATTGTGATCGTTATCGTAGTGATCGTTTTGATCGTTGTGATCGTTACCATTATCGTTATCATCGTCCCTATGCTGCCCGCATCGCCACGCTCCCGCGTCTCTGACGAGGAACGAAAAGCGGCACCACCACCAACACCAGCGCGAGGAGCCAGGGGGGGTCTTCCTGGTGGTGTATAGACAAGCGCGTTCCACCACTCGCAAAATAACTACTCGCAGATAGTCTGGATCCGCCATGGAGGATGTACGATACGCCGCATCGATGCAAGCATGTGCTGTTCGGACGCTTGCGAGCAGGCACTTTGCGAGTAGTGGAACGCGCTGGGTGAGTGCAGTCCCCCTCCCCGCTGGAGATGTCCCCCGCCCCCAGCTCGCGGAAGCATCGTGGACCTGCTTGCTGGAGGCGGCACCCCTGGTGGTGGTGGTGTCGCCTGCCCTCCCCTCCGAACGACAGGGGAGGGACCGGCTCGGGAGGGGAGATATCAGCCTGGAATCGGCCATACGTCGACGAGAGATCGGCGATGGGCCCCTCCTCCTCCTCCTCCCCCTCCTCCTCCTCCTCCTCCTCCTCCTCCTCCTCCTCCTCCTCCTCCTCCTCCTCCTCCTCCTCCTCCTCTCCTCCTCCTCCTCCTCCTCCTCCTCCTCCTCCTCCTCCTCCTCCTCCTCCTCCTCCTCCTCCTCCCCTCCTCCTCCTCCTCCTCCTCCTCCACCTCCTCCTCCTCCTCCTCCTCCTCCCTCCTCCTCCCTCCTCCTCCTCCTCCTCCTCCTCCTCCTCCTCCTCATCCTCCTCCTCCTCCTCCTCCTCCTCCTCCTCCTCCTCCTCCTCCTCCTCCTCCTCCTCCTCCTCCTCCTCCTCCTCCTCCTCCTCCTCCTCCTCCTCCTCCTCCTCCTCCTCCTCCTCCTCCTCCTCCTATTCCTCCGATAACGAAACCGAGCGTTCCTGGGCGGTGTGGTCTATCGGGCCCGTGCCGGCGATGGACGGGCGGTTAGGTGTCGATGCGCTCCAGACCGAGCCTGTCCCCCCACTAACGTTGCCCCTGGGTCTTCGTATGCACTCGGCCACGCGGCCTCCAGTGCAGAGTGCGCAGGCGGGTCCCGCAGAGGTGATGGCTGCGAGGAAACGGCAAGAGCAGAGCTGTGTGACACAGTGCACCGACCCAGAAGCGCACAAGAATCTCAGCATCGATCTGGGCGCAGAAGGTAGAGTACAAGATATTATGGCGCGCGAACATGGATTAGCGGCCCATGGATTTGGCGCGCGATCGCCAAATCCATCGGTCGGGGGAGGTACCCTCCCCAAAATGCGGCCGGTGCCGCCTCGCTCGCTACTCCACGCCCCCATTGATCCATGTCTGCGATCGCCTGAAGCAATCTGGGCGCAGATGGCTGCTCTCGCTGGGGGGAGGAGGGAGGATCGAGAAGCGAGGAGGGAGGGAGGGAAGAGGGGGAGGAGGGAGGGAGGGGGGAGGAGGAGGGGGAGGGGGAGGAGGGGGAGGAGGGAGGGAGGTCCCTTGCCTGCCTCCCTCTCCACCCCCTCAGCTCCACTCCACCGCGGGGCAGGATCCGCTCGAATTCCCCCCTTCCTTCCCTGGGCGGCCTGGGACCCTGGCTGCCCGGACGCGCACGGCGCCCGGCCTCCGGACTCTGCGCGCACATGTGCTCCGGTGCCTCGCGCGGTGCTCCCTGAGGAGCGCCTGCACTGACAGGCGGCGAGCAAGGGGGGGGAAGCGAGCAGGGGCGGGCCGTCTCAGAAGGCTCGGAAGCCCCCCGGCCTTCTGAGTGGTTTCCCAGGCCTTCCCCGAAGACACGGGAGACTTCTCACAAGGCGCGAGGGCCTCTGAGAAGCCCCGCCGCCTTCTGAGAAGGCCTTCTCCTTCTCACCTCCCCCCCTCGCTCGCCGCCGATGATCAGTGCTTGCATTGGCATTGAGGGACCCCTGGTTTCTGATGGACCCTGCGCGGCTGCAGCACGACGTAGACGGCGGCCACGACGAACGCGACGATCACAGCGGCGACGGCGACGTCCGCGGCAGCGGCGGCGACGACGGAGACGATGATGGCGACGGCGATGACGACCACGACAGCGACGACCATGGCGACAACGAAAACGACCACGACAGCGATGGTCATGGCGACGACAACCACGATGAAGGCAGCGAAGAGGACGACGGCGGCGACGACGGCGGCAGCGGCGACGGCGGCCACGACAGTGGGGACGGTGGCCGAAGGCCACCTGTGTGAAGTCCCCAGGAAGCCTCCCAAAATCCTCCAGAGGCCAGGAAGTAACTTCCAGGAGGTCTTCGCAAGAACGATTAAGACCTATCAGGCCAGATTAAGGAGCCACTCAGCCGGATCAGCCCAGATTAAGCCCGACTACGACATAGGACTGCGCCAGATTTTGCCAGTCCTCGACCACGGCCATACCAACGCCGATGCCCCACAAGGCCTCCAAGATGGATCCACCCCCCTCCAGCCCCCCCTCCAGACCCCCTCTCTTGGAATCTGCAGGGTCCCCCGGAGACATTCGGAGACACCCGAAAACCATGATGGTTGATTCATGTCGTCGTCGTCGTCGTCAATCTACTGCATGCTGCTACACAGTCCTCGTCAGGGCAAATTCCCTGGCGACTGCCTCTGGATGGGCTGGTGGGGACACGCGAAACGACAAGAACTTGGCCTCCCACGAGTTACACCGTGACGGAAGGCGTCTGTAAGAGAAACAGAAGTGCAGCCAGAGAAGGGGAGACCAAAAGGTACCGATGCCGCTACTCCACGGACCTCTCCTGGGGTGCGTTCTGACCAGAATTTCGAGGGGAGTTCAGCCGTGGCGAAGAGGGATCTCCAGGACGAGCAGCGGTAAAGATATCTCCTCCTCTGAATGGGAGCGACGAGTCCCCAATCCGATCGACGCGGGCGACCGATCGAGACGGCGGCGGTCATGCGGGGACCCGCGGACGCAGTTGCCCATCGCGGCGCCGCGCTCGCGGATACCTGCAAGGACCCAGGCCTCCGATCGCTTCGCGATCGTTTCGCGGCGTGGACCCGGGAGGTTTGGACCCTCACCCTCTCCCCACGGACCGGCTCTCCATCCTTTGGCGGCGCGCACAGAGGGGGTGGCGCGAGAGGTTCGGCCTTCCAAGAAGGAAGGGCGGGCTCTTTCTTATAGAAGCGTCCAGGCGCTTCGGAGCAGCCACATGCCTCCTGAAACCCTCCCCCCCCTCATAAAGGCCCCGCCCCCCTCGAGCCACCTCTGTGCGAGGCACCAAATCCTGGAGCAGGATTACTGCACGGCCCCTGGGCCCGGGCGAGGGGCCCCGGATGCCGAAGGCGGCCAACGAAGCGAGGAGGAGTGGCTTTCGGGCCATGACTCGGGCTCCTTGCGGCCGTCCGGCGAGCACCGCGCTCCCATGGAACAGTCTCGGAGAGGCGCCTCTGCTGACAAGCAGCCCGAGGCTGGAACCCCCCAGGGAAACCACGGAAAAACGCCCGAAAACCTTCGATCTCGAACCTCCTCCTCCTCCTCCTCCTCCTCCTCCTCCTCCTCCTCTCCTCCTCCTCTCCTCCTCCTCCTCCTCCTCCTCCTCCTCCTCCTCCTTCCTCCTCCTCCTCCTCCTCCTCCTCCTCTCCTCCTCCTTCGCCTCCTCCTCCTCCTCCTCCTCCCCCTCCGCCTCCAAAGGCCCCCCCCGAAGGCCGAAGCTGCCAAAGGACCTCCCGCCGTGACTTCTGCCGCAGCGACCGGAGGTCTGGGCACAGGCCGCCCGTGCGCGTTCGGCGGCCCGCGCGGGCACGCGCCCTCCCGCCCTGGCGCGGTCCCTCGGGCGCGCGCCCCGGGGGCCCCGGCTGCAGGCGGCGACGCCGGCGGCGGCGGCGTTGACGGCGGCGGCGATGGCGATGACGATCGCGCAGACGGCCGCGGCCGCAGCGACAGATGGCGGCGGCGGCGGCGGCGGCGATCACGGCGTCGATCACGGCGGCAACGACCGCGGCGGCGGCGACGCATTTCTTGAGCCAACAGCTCTTCTCCACCAAATGCACGTCACCTGACGGCTGCGGGCAACGCCAGCCTGCTGAAAGATCTGGTAGCGCCAGGAAGGTCATGGTCGACTCGACCTAGCTTCGCGTTCCGAGACCAGACTTTGGTCGATCCCAGAAGCTGTATGGACCAAGAGAGCAAAACCATCTCTGCTGATCGCCGCGAACCTCGTCGCGGAATCCGCCGACGGCAGCTCGTAGCAGGTCAAGGATGAACACCACTGCCGCTGGCCTTGTCCCCAAGCGTGAAAACTGGGTGCAACTTAGACGGGCACGGGAAACCGATGCGGGCTCTGGCCACATTGCGACGAGGCCTCAAGAGTCTGGGTCCCTCCCCCGCGCCGAAGCGAGACGGAGGCAGGAGCGCTGCATCAGCACGAGCAAGGAGCGACGACCACCGCATCCGAGACGTGAGAGTAGAAGCCTGAGCTCCAGGGAACTTTTAAAAAACAGGAAGACCACGACGACTCCACGGATAAACCTGGGCCGCCGAGGCAAGTTCCGAACAAAAATCCTGTGGCCTCAACGCGCGCTGAAATCCCCTAGGGAGGGATTCCCTGAGAAGCACCCAGGGCAGTGGCCAGGAGAGACCTCGCTCTGAGCAGCCCCGCAGGGGCCTCCATGGGGGGACTGCCGAGGAGCCGTGGTAGTGGCAGCTCTCTCGCGCAAACCAGCTCTGGCGGCCTGAGCCGCGGCCGCGGAAGTTCCGTCCGCCGACGCAGCAGCACCTGCGGCAGGCTCGACTGGAGCGGCTGGGGGCCCTCCCCCGCTGGCGCTGCAACCTCGCAGTCAGCAGGAGCCTCACACCGACGCTTCTCGGCTGAGAGCTGTTTGATGCGGGCCTCGTAGTACTCACGACACTGACCAAAGTCAGATTTGACATACTCGAAAAGGTTGCCCGCGAACCCACAGGCGCGCTCACGCATCTTCGCAGCCCTTGTCTCGAGCTCCTCATTGTCCTCAACACTGGTATCGCAATGAATTCCCTCGATCTTGAAGGTCGAAGACATGTCCAGCAACGCCTCGAGATTCTGCGGGTCAATGAAGTTATCGATCGTGATATTGGCGTGCACAGTTTCGACATCGGGCTGCTTGAGTTGCTTGTGGAGCTGACGCGCCAGCTCGCTGTGAGCAGATTCCGACTGCTCCAATTCCTTCCTGAGGAATGTAACGCGGGCCCGCCGTGATTCCAACTGCTGAGACATCGCTTCGAATGTAAGGACGGCAGCCTCAAGGTTGTGCTAAGCACGCTTGAGTATACCTGAAGGTTTGCTGGCAGCGGTGCTTGCAGAGTTTGAATTGATGTCCTGTACTGGTTCGCCGCGACTTTGGCACTGGCCTTCTCGCATAGAGTAGCCGGCTGCTGGTACTCCTCGATGGAGACAGAGAGAGAGAGAGAGGTGGACGTGGACATCGCGGCGCCTCCTGAGGTACCAGGCGAAGTGCCTCCGCCACAGCAGGCGCCAGCACCCTTTCCCAAGAAACCTGCACCAGCGCCACGTCCTTTGAGTTGACCTGGAAGGCCGCTGTACCACTGGCCTTCCCCATGTCGGAGCGGGAGCCGTTGAATCACACGCTGTCGGGAGTCCTTGGACGAGAACATCTGCAGTGCTTGCACCATTTGAACCAGCCGGAACCGGACGACATCCGAAGGCGTTGCATGTCCAGCGCTGCCCGCAAGAAGAAGGGACAGGATCCTGAGGGCCAGGGATGAGGAGAGGCCAAGCATCACGAACACTTGCGCCCTTCCTCGAGTCGCCCTGAATCCACGGTGCATAGCAGAAGCCCTGGCTGCCCTTCGAGCCCCCCTTGAGCTGCGAGCTGCCGAGACCTTTCGCCATGCGCTTTGACCTGCCGTCTTTCCAAGGCAGCGGACGCACCTGCCAGAAAGATTTGCAAACTAAAAAAGAACTCGAGCCACCTTGGCCCGCAACAGCTACGCCGTTCTGAAGTGAAGCTGCGGCAGCGACAGCGACGACCACGGCGACGATCACAGTGTCGGGCGACGACTGAAGCATGGGGAGGTGAGAAGGAGGGAGGAGGAGGAGGAGGAGGAGGAGGACGACGACGACGACGAGGACGAGGAGGAGGAGGAGGATACAGAAAGGACGGGGGAGGGGGAAGAAAGGGAGGAGGCGGAAGAGGGACAAGAGGAGGAGAGGAGGGTACGCAATGGATGCGGGAAAACAAACCGTGGTCCCAATCACACACACACACACACACACATCGCACCCTTCAGCTACCCACAATACCGCTTGCACGATGTAGGGCATCGTTCAGGATCAAGGGAGAAACGTAACACGTCCCCCTGCTCCGTTTCGGATTAGATCGCTGGCAGGCCGCTGTTGTGCAGGCAGAGAAAACGTAACGCACGCCTCCGCCCGATAATCCTCAAACCTGCGATGTACGCTCACAATCCCCAGGTATCATTGGAGGAAATGGGGGGCTGCGGGATGACAACACGACAAGACTTGTTTTGTTGAGGCGACAGCTGCACCCTCCCCCTCCTCCGCCTCCTCCTCCGCAGGGTAGGAGGCCTGGGCCGCACTATTCCCCTCCGTCGCCACCCCTAATCTCGAGCGCGCACTCTTTGCCAGGCGAGCTGACAGAGCTTGTTTCAAAACGTGCCTATCTTCGGGCAGTGAAACGAAATTGGCGCGAAACCGCCGGCGAAGCCGCCGAGCCCGGCCAGGGGGCTGCATCATCGGCTCGCTAGTTTCCTGTCCACCGCCTCCGCGGGCCATCCTCCTCCTCCTCCTCCTCCTCCTCCTCATCCTCCTCGTCCTCGTCCTCGTCCTCGTCCTCGTCCTCCTCCTTCTCCTCCTCCTCCTCCTGCTCCTCCTCGTCCTCGTCCTCCCCTTCGCCATTCACCTCCCCGTGCTCCTGCTATTGCTGCTGCGGCCCTCTTCGTGATCTGCCTGCCGCCGCTCTTGTACCTGTTCCTCCTCCCCTCTTTCCACCCCCCCTCAACATCTCCGTCTTCTGGCCCACAGGGAGGGCAAGACCATATCAGGCCTCCCTCCTCCCTGGCCATCGTCTCTCCCCTTTTCCTGCCCCATCGCGTTCCGAAACACCTTGAAATTCCAAGGCTCCTGGGGACATCCTGAAACCTTATGGGAAATCTTCAGGTGGCCTCAGTAGATCCATACGCACCCGAAGGACACTCTCGAGCCAGTTACTGAAATCACTTGGCCCACAAAACAAATCTGCGAGATTTCGTAATGCGTCCTCTGGAGCCATCGGGATTCCCTCAGGGCCCATGGGGAAGCACTGCAGGTATGAGGAATCCCGCACGACCCCCAGGACACCCGTATGTGCAGAAAAGGAGAGCACGGACAAGCACTGAATCCTTAGAAGAATGCAATGAAACACACAAGATACGAGGACGGCACGGAATGGCCCCGCCTTCCGCCCCGCCTATCCCGTCCACCTATGATGGCCAATCCCTCGGCAGACGCTGGCGCTTCGCGGCGCGCGCGTGAAGCACCCCGTGACGCACCCGCGTCTCGAGTCCCAGGGCGATATCCATGGCGCATGCCGACGTGAACCGATTCGCCAGGCCCCCCCGTGGTGCAAAGCTGTGCGGTGCACGCGCTTGTGGTGCAAGCCCGTGCCGTGGGCGCACGAGGCGACCGCGAGGCGCCCACGGGCTGGCGCGCGAGCCGAGGCAGCGAGACCCCGGGAGGTCCACCCGGACGGGGCGCCCACGAGGCGGGCACGGGGCGGGCACGGGGCGCCAACGCGGCAAGACCTCGGGAGAGCCCCCAAAGACAGAGCACACACGAGGAGTCCACGAGCGGGCACGAGGCGCCAGCGAGGCGAGAGCCCAGAGCAGCCACCCGATGACTCGAGCAGAAGGAGTGAGAACCCCGACGAGAAAGCGCTGTTGGGAAACTAACAGAATCACTGTCTCTGGCTGAAGCTCTGAAGACAAGGACAGTTCTAATCTGTGCTCAACCGTCGCGGTGGACCCTGCCCCCCTTGTATCTCAACAATGGCCCCCTACCCTCTTTCTGTCCGAGGTCACATCTATGCCCCATATGACAGGTCGACAGCTCCAAAGCACAGTTGCATAACTCGAGCACTTCCACTTCCTCCGCCATCTTCTCCAACCCCCCCCCTCCTCCTCCTCCTCCTCCCCCTCCTCCTCCTCCTCCTCCTCCTCCTCCTCCTCCTTCTTCTGTTCTCCCCTGGCATCCACATCCTACTTCGCCTTCTCATTATGGTTGGCACGCCCGAAGTGGGGCGCTGTTCACTAGCAACTGCTGCCTGAAACGGCCAGCAAATCTGAAATTAGGGAACCAGGTTCGCTGCTGAACGAGCCATTCCAGGCGTCCCAGGTCCACCTCATTCGTTTCGTCTCCATTCCTTCTGCTTATAAGAAACTTCTCCCTGTTGAACCCCGAGGCCAGTTTGTAGGGCGGGTCGGTCGTTTCGCCTGAGACGTCCTCACCATTTATGATCCTGAAGCTAAAAGAATGGCAACATATTCACAGACGGAGAGCGGATCGTATTCAACATGTGGCTCTCGCCTTAGCGCCGCGCACATTCGTTTTCAAAATGTGCCAGAGTGACACGAATTGAGGGCGAGACGTTTTCAAAATGTGGCTCTCCCCTTAGCGCCGCGCACACTCGTTTGCAAAAATCATAAGCGTTTCACAGATTGAGGGCGGGTGGTTGTCAAAATGTTGTTCTCGCATTAGCGCCGCGCATATTCGTTTGAACAAACCATAAGAGCTTCACGGACTGAGGGCGGGTGGCTTCGTTTGCAAAAAAAACATAAGGGTTTCACGGATTGAGGGCGGGTG